TTTCTTAAATCAGGGGGAATAATCTAATCTATAATTTGTCAGTCATAAAGATTAACATCATTTGGCGAAGGTATGAGATCGGGGAACTCTAGTTTTCTTTTTTTTTTCGCCCGCCCGCTCCATTATTTTTCTAGAAAAATCCGTTAACCAAGAAATTAAATTGGTGTGGCCTTACTACACAATTGTAAAAAATCAGTGTTATTCAGCTTGTTTGTGCACTAGCTGCAAGGCTGATTTTTATGAATAAAACTTGAACTTGAAAACTTGAACTTGAAGTTTTTTTCGTTGTTCCCACAGCCGAGAGACGTACAACCAGCTGACGAACTGGCTGACAGACGCGAGAACGCTGGCCAGCCCCAACATCGTGATCATCCTGTGCGGAAACAAGAAGGACCTGGACGCCGACAGGGAAGTCACATTCCTGGAGGCCAGCAGATTCGCGCAGGAAAACGGTGAGCACTTTTAATCGTTACGTTTACCGAAGGAAAACATATTGTTTTACTCAGTTTCTTCTTCTTCTTCTCCAAACAGTGACCTATGACCTGACCAATGACATGATTTGTTGATGTCTGTCACCATGGTGACCATGGTGTTGGGTTACATAATGTTGCAATTTGGTGGTCTGCTCTGCTCCTGTCACCATATACTAGTAGTACATGTATGCGAATGTGTTTGAGTGAGAATTAACAGAGCAGACCATGTCCAAAGGTAAACAATATGCAAATGTTACTTCTCTAGTTATCTCTTTCTTTTTATTTACTTCATGAGTCACCACAAAACAAGGCTCATGGGAGCCACTCAAATGTTTTGGTTACAGTACAGCCAGTGAGGACAGGTGTTTGTTGACCTTAGACTTGAAAAGTTTAAGGTTATACTCATATGGGAAACAATCTCGTGGTAGCTTGTTCCATAGTGATGTTGTTCTAGGAAAGAACCTTTCAGCCTGGAACTTAATAGGTGGGGCAACCTAAAATTCTGATGGGCAACCTAATTTTTTCTGTAGGTTGCCCACTGGGCAGCCTGGTTCAAAAAAGTATTTTGTACACTGGTACTATATGACATATGGGACTGTGTTCTCTATAGGAAATAAGGTTCATAAACGAGGCATTGAGATAGTGTGTACTCAGCTGGACCCCCTCGGCTATGTCTGTCCTTGGTGCTGGTACATCTGAAACTGTTGCATTAGTGTAATGTACTGGGCACATTAACAGGTTGGGACCTCCATGTTTCATGCCATGTTTCAAAACACTTATCACTCCATTGCGTTTCTGAGCCCAGTTACTGGTAATGCGTCTATCGCTGTTTATTTTCTGTGCCAATCTGTCTGAAAATGATCCCGGGGATTATCTAAGTTCTAACAGATGCATCTGTGGATGTGCTTACTTATCCGTGCATGTGTTAGCTTGATAACTTGTCACAATGTACCAGTTTCCCCATTTCTCTAGCATTCGCACACTAGGTAACGTTGATGTACCGATCGGTTTGTGCAGGAGTTTCTCACTTTTCTGGTGCATCTGTGTACGTACTTACTTATCTGTGCATGTGTTAGCTTGATAACTTGTCATAAGGCCACATCAATTTAATTTGTTGGTTCACGGATTCACCCGCTTCATTTTTTTTCTGTTTGCAAACAAAAAACAAAAAAACGTTTCAGCCTCTGAATCAACTCGAAAATGCTCATATTTTGGTCCCAACAGTTGAAGTCCCTTCTCTTCAGAGTTTTTTTTCATCTGTTAATATAACGCAGTGGTTTGATTAAAAGTATATGTAATGTGTATGGTATGTGTAACTTGACTTCATGGCTCCTAACATAGCATGTTATTTCATTTTTTCGCCATGTCGCTTCACATGTTTCTTCAGAAAAAATCAGAGAACCAAGAAATTAAAATGGTGTGGCCTTAATGTAGCCGTTTCCCCACTACTCCTGCGTTCACACACCGCACGGTTTGTGCCGAAATTGCTCACTTTTCCGCCGTGATGTATGAGAAATCCGTTGAAACGGCACTTCAGTTTCCCGTCGCGACTCCTCTGGTGTCATTTCCGCGGCAGTTTTCCGCTCCTAAATCACCGCCGGGCCGGTGTTTTTGATTGGTAGCCGGCGGAGGTTATTAGCGGAGCCGCGTGTTGGATGTCGGCTGCGGCGGCAAATGGATTTATGTCTCCAGGTGAAGGGAGAACACAGCACGCCATCTGTTACAGAAACTCAGGCGCTGCTGTCATTTTTATGCAGCAGTTTCTAACAACATACTTGCTGCGAAGGACATAAATTGACATGAGGTCACACCAATTTTATTTGTTGGTTCTCAGATTTTTTTAGAAAAATCTTGTGTGTTACGCCGAAGGGCGGTTATACCGGCTATACAGATACAGAAGCTGGTGTGTTACGCCGAAGGGCAGTTATACCGGCTATACAGATACACATTTTTTTTTTGCCCTCTCACATTAGGTTTGGAGTCTACAGAGGATGTCGTCCATAAAATTTACTTGCTGTGGCCCAATATATAGCAGTTTGTGTAAATATTTCAGAGGCCAGACCACACAAAGAGACACTTACTGTACATGTCTCCCTATTGGTCTACATAGCAGTCTGGGGAAGCAGATTTCTGAGGTATGCCCTTGAACTAAGAGGTCGCCCATCCATTTCTCCCGGCTCCTTGCACAGCAGTGGGGCATGAATATTTCAGAAATATTGCTTCTGCAGCTCACTAGAGCCTAATCCACCCCTGGTAGGGCTCAATGAACTGTAAAAGATGTTCGCTATCAGGGCTCGAAATTACAGCTGGTCCGATGGCCACTGACCACTAAAATTCAGGCTGGGACAACTGAAAAGACAATTTGGGACATTTTGGGGACAATAGAAAAATAATCAACATCAGAGTGTCAGCCCTTCTTTTGTTTGGCTCTGGAAAAAGCTCCCCAAAATTTCCCGTTTACTCTGCAATTATAGCGCGCGTGGAAGTCAGAACGTAAGCAAAATAAAGCTGACTTCAACTTCAAGTCCACTTCCCGAAAAACAGGTTGGAACAGTTCATCCTCACTTCGGGACAGTTGAAATTTATTTTCAGGACAGTACTGGGAAATTTATTTATTTATTTGTTTCGTCTTATAAACACCTGGGTGGCCTCTTCAACAGTAAAATTGTTGATTTCCAAGAGGGCCCAGGGACACATAAACAATATAACATAACATAAACATAACATGAATCAATTTGTATAAAAGTAAATTATACAATCAAGTAACATAACTGAGAAAAGTTAACAGAGATCAGTGTAACTGAAAATCAGTATAACTGAAACTGAAAATAAGAAGAAAAGTTAATTTCGAGGCCTGAGGTATGAACTGTAAAAGATGTTTCCCGTCCTTCCCATAACTGTTACCAGGGTTCGAAATTAACTTTTAGGAATAGGTGCACTGGTGCACCCAACCTAAAAAAATGGGTGCACAATAAATATTTGGGGTGCACCATATAAGATAAAGTAAGCACAATGTCAGCAAAACTAATTATATATGTTTTATTTCTTAATCAAAATGTTATAACAATGATTTTTATATTTTCCTGAGATGTTAAGAATATGCTGTATACTACAATATATTTAACATCATACGTAAACCTAAGAATACGTTACTGTACATTTGTACACACATGTACTGTACATTTCAAGGTTAAATAAAGGCTGAAAAAAAAAGAAAGAAATATTTGGGTGCACAAGGTGCATCCACAGAAAATAATTGGGTGCACAGCTCCAAATTTGGGTGCACTAAGGTATTTCCAGCCCTGGTTACTGTAGCAGTAAAAACTACACGAACGTAAACAAGAACATAACCTGCCTCCACGTCCAGTGGAAGACAAGATTCAATCACCAATATCTGAAGTGTCCAGGCTTAAGAGGCAGAAGCAAATCCTCCTCCGTTACTCTTGAAGCGTTATACTGCCGGGAAACAGTTATGAACCTGTCCTACGGTTTAAGTTACTGCCTCACACAAAATAAAGTTTAAATTAGTTCACAAATCAATTTGGATGTAAGCTCTGAAGCCTGTGTGCACAGTTCAATTGTCACCTGGAGACTGGTATAATACATCTACCTCTCCCAGATCCACAGTAACAAATATTGGTGCACATGTAATGACCAGGGCATGAAATTCATTTTTGGAAATAGGTGCACTGGTGCACCCAACCTAAAAGACTGGGTGCACAAAAAATATCTGCTGCACCGTATAAGATAAAATAAGTAGAAAGTCTGCAAAAACTGTGATAATAATTATGTTTCATTTCAAGAAAAGTACAATAACAATGATTGTATTATTTTTTTCTGACACATAGATGTTAAGAGTATCCTCTCTAGCAAACTGTACTCCAGGGCTCAAAATACTGGGTGCATGTGCACCTCAGTGCACCCAAATTTGGAAATGTGTACCCAATTATTTTATGTGGGTGCACCAGTGCACCCAAATATTTTCTTAGGTTTAAGTTTAATGTATATAAAGATGTTAAATGTATAGTACTTCCAGCATACTCTTAACATCTATGTGTCAGAAAAAATAATACAATCATTGTTATTGTACTTATCTTGAAATGAAACATCGGCCGCTCTCCTGACAGTTAACGTCGGGCACATTTTTATGAGCAGTAGGCAGACGTGATTGCAGCTTATCTGTGCTAACTGTAGGCAGAGATAACTGGACAAAGCAGCAAGCACTGCTGTTGCTGTAAGTCAGGAATGGTGCTTTGGGGAAGGGCAGAATATAAATGTCATTACTGGTACCAAGAAGGTTCTGTTTTCTGTAGCATGTGTGTGAGTGTGTGTGTGTGTAAATCTGTGTGTGTGCGCGCGTGTGCGCGCGTGAGTTTGTGTGTGTGGTTGTGTGTGTGTATAAATCTGTGTGTGTGCGCGCGTGTGTTTGTTTGTGTGTGTGTGAGTGTGTGAATCTGTGTGTGTGAGTGTGGGTGTGTGCGTTAACTCAAAAAGGCTTAGATGGATTGTCTTGATATTTGGTAGGTGATTAGATTTAGGACCCCCATTGGCAGCTTGAATTTCTGGTTTTGACATCTCAACTTATATGTTTTCCTTAGTTGTCTATCAACAAAGACGAAGTACAGTACCCTTTTCAAAGAAAAAAAATTTCCGCACTAAGAATTGGTGTCCTGACATAACCTGGTGTGCCCTGTTTATGGTGAAACATGCTGTATTATCAGTGTGATGTTATCTGGTTAGTTCTTATTCTGGGCACTAAACTCTAGCCCTACACCAGCTGCAGTAGGGGAAAATGGCTCAAGTTTGCAGTAAGAACTTTGGGTAAGGCCACACCAATTTAATTTGTTGGTTCTCGGATTTTTTTCAGAAAAAATATGAAGCGACAGGTGTAGGCATCCTATTATAGCCCCAAATGCAACAAGAGGAGCTATGAAGTCAACACAAAACGCTGGGTTAATGTTTAAGTTTTGTTTTAATCA